ATAAGAGAATCCCAGGACCCAATGTGAATGAGATTAGCTAAAATGCCCAACAAAGTGGAGGGAGAACCTGTAGAGACCATATCCAGAGGTTAGGCAAGGCCTCCTGTTGGGGAATGGGGCCACCCACTCATCTCCAAATTTTTAACACAGAATTGCTCCTGTGAAGAGGAAATAAGGGGACAAAGTGTGGAGCAGAGACTGAAGGAAAGGGTATCCAGAGACTGTCTCACCTGGGATTCTATCCCATATGTAGACACCAAACCCGGACACTATTGCTGATGCCAAGAAGTGCTTACTGACAGGAGCCTGATATAGCTGTCTCCTGAGAGGCTCTGCTATAGCATGACAACTACAAATGCAGATGCTGGCAGCCAACCATTGGACTGAGGGCATTGAACTGAGGAGGATTTAGGGAAAGAACTGAAGGAGCTTAAGGGGTTTGTATGGTTCCAGCTGCATATGTAGCAGAGGATGGCCTTATTTGGCATCAGTGGGAAGAGAGGTCCCTGGTCTTGTGAAGGCTCAATGTCCCAGTATAGAGGAATGACAGGACAGTGAGGTGGGAGTGGAAGAATGCATGGGAGGGAGAGTAGCCTCATAGAAGCAGGGTGAGGGGGGATAGGATAGGGGCTTTGTGGAGGGGAAACCAGGAAATGGGAAAGCATTTGAAATGGAAATAAATAAAACATCAAATAAAAACATTATTATTGTGTACAATTGTGGAGTACAATGCACTGTTTTGTATATGTAAATGTGATATAATTAATTAAAGCCAAATAACATAAAAAATGATTGTCAGTCTTCAGTGTTCACTTTTGCAAAATTATCACAATAATATATTTTTACTTTATATGATTTTCTCTTCAGCAGAACTTAGGAATATAAAAAATTTTGAAATAAGAAATAATGCTGAGTTATAGTACTAATTTCTTCCTCTTGACATATCATTAAATAATACAAAATACCTATTAAAGGTATAAAAGATATACAGTTCAGTTAATTATTACTCAGATTATATTAATATTAACATCATAAGCGTTTCACTCAGAATTTTAATTAGCGATTTAAGTTTGTAAAACTTGACTATTCTGAGAAAACAGGCTTAATTATACAAGAAAATGGGTAGAGCTGGAAACAACCACACTGAATAATGCAAACAAGACCAAAAAAAGAAGCATTGTATGTTTTCTTTCATTTGCTGATATAAATTTTGAATCACCAGATCTTATGTTTCATTTTGAATACCCACATAGGTAAGTTTATTAGACATCAGAGACCAAAGAATGAATGAATGAATGAATGAATGAATGAATGAATAAGCTTAATACCAGGAATGGGTTACTTATTCTCTTTGTATTATTGGCTAGTGAGGGTCCACAGTGGCTGAAACCTTACAGGATATTGTCAATGTTCTTGGTTTCCCTCCAAAACTTGATGGTGAGAGAGAGCCATTACCTTGAGACATAGGACACGTAGACATCAAGATGGTACTAATCTGGAGGCTTCATTGCTACTGGCTGTTTTTAATAGTGGAAGATATTATGTACTCCATTGCAGAGGAAAAGCTTATCTGTTTATGAACCTCGTGAGGTATAATATTGACCAGAAAGACATGTTCATTGGTGGAATATACACAACATCATGGGAGTAAGTACCATTTTCTGATTGAGTTTAAATCCCATTTCACAATATGAAATTCAAACCTTGTACCATTATTAGTTGAAGAACCTATGTAAAGATAGGTCACAGACTCTAAGGGAGAAACTAACACTTTGATTTTGTAAGTAGACAAAATATTAATCTATCAGCTATTATTTATCATTATAACTATAGCTTATTGTCTTTCTCAATCCTCTTCAGTGAAAATACAATTTTTAGGAGCTGTTGATTAATCAGAGACATAAAACTGGGAAAGGTGAAGACAAAAAGATTTCAAAATTCTTAGCTCTACATGGTATGTATATACCTTTCAAGGTCCAGGTATCATGCAGAAAGAGTTTAAGAGCCAGAAGAGATTGAAATGGTGTCTCAACTACACATATGAACTTACATGTGTGTATGCATGTAGAAGATATGTGCAAATCCAAACTAGACCAATCCTAGAATAGATATGCAGAATGAAATCTCATCTCCTAGACAAAAAGCTATTGGCAATTGATAGCTCCTGGGAGACGGAGGGGGGGCAGAAGGAGGAGGAGGAGGAGGAGGAGGAGGAGGAGGAGGAAGAGGAGGGGGGGGGGAGAGGGAGGGGAGAGAGGGAGAGAGGGAGAGAGGGAGAGAGGGAGAGAAGGGGAAAGAGAGAGGGTAAAGAGAGGGAGAGGAGGGACAGGAGGAAGAAGAGGGAGAGGGGGAGAGAGGAGAAGAGGGGAAGAGAGGGGGAGAGCAGGAGAACAGAACTAACTGAATGATTTTAATATCAAGAGACTGGCATAAAACAACTATTAAGAGCTCTTGCTTTTCTCAGTATCCTACTAGTAAGACAGGAAAACTCAGCAGTTGAGTTTTATAAGATGGCACCAGTCACACATGGACAATTTGTAAGCCAATCATATTCCTAAATTGGTACTTATAAAATCAGGAGGTGCTATCTTCCAAGGGGATATTTGAAAATAAAATGTTTATATACACACACTGTGAAACCATAGGCTATAAGATGAAGGCTGATAAATGTTCTGCAGAGTTGTGGGTAAGACTCAGTGGTGAACTGCATATTCCAATGCCAGTGGTATTTCTGCTGGTACACCACTTTGCTAGTGAACTCTGGGAAAAATGTATGCAATTCTCTGAATACTTCTCTTTTTTAAAGGATTAATATAAAACATGATGCAAACGCAGAATGCAATTTGAGCCTCATGTTTCCACAAGAGCCAAATTCAATAATTTTCTTGACTCTTAATGACAATCTGATGACATATTAGAATGCTTAGATATTTAACAGACATCAATTCTCTCTTATTCTGATTGAAAACAAAATTTACATTGCCCATTTGCAGAATAGATTTGAAGTAAATTCACAGAGATTAGCAAACCTATGTTTGCTATTGAGGTTCCATTAGCTAAGGCAACATGTCAGTGAACTCAGCAAACCAAACTCAAGTTTCTAGAAAGTATTTGTTGCTTCTTCCTGAACAGTTTCATAGGCCACTTTCACATAAAAATAGAGTAATTTGACAGTTGAGTTTTAATATTTCTTATGATGTGGCAATACATATCAGCTATGTCTTGGTGTGACAATAAAAGCCCTGGCTTCCATGTATGACTTCTGTTTATGAGTTTCCTGCCCTGTATTTGCTATCGTGTAGCTGTTCTCTCTGAGTTGACATATTTTCTCTTGGAGAGCGACCCTCTAAGACTCAGGAACCAACCCCCACAATGTATCTGGAATATTCTATAGATTCTATAGTTCAAAGATGTATAACTGCTCCCTCCATATTCAGGCTTATGCAATCTATATCTATCCTACCTGTCTATCATTTGTCTCTATCTATCTGTATCTGTCAATCATCTACCATCTGTCTACATATGTATGTACATGTGTATACATATATGTATGTGTATGTACATATACATGCATATATGGAGAGACAGACAGGTAGAGAATGAGAGTGACTCTTCTAACTGAGTGCAAATCATGGTGGAACTCCAGGTGTGAGGATTTCCAAAATCATCACCTGTGCAGGTGTGGGCTTTCTAGTGATGTGGCTGCTTATGAGTCATCAATACTCCTGAAAAAACCCTGTATCCATATTCCTGCAGCCCCAATGAACTCATTGATTTACTAAGATAGACTTGGACAGAACTGCTTCTTTGGTCTGTTATTGGTACTATTTCTAGAGTGAACAAATTCTGCTTGTTTGTTTGTTTCTACATTTTCATAGCAAAATCCACACTATTGTTCATCTTTAAAATTGGGGTATTTGTTTCCCATGCCTTCAAATTTTTGTGATATGGAATCAGCAAAACCTCTACTAAACTGCCCTGGAGCTTGCTTTGTGTTCTTGTCTTCAGCCACAGCCTCCCTCTTGCTTCCGGCTTCAATGGATTCTTTGTTGTTCCACTGTGACAGTTCATATTTTTGACTACCATTCCTTGCTCTGCCTGATATGATAAAAATACATGCCTTTGTCCCTCAGTTCCTTCAGGTTTCTGCTAAAATATCCCTGGGAATAAGACAATTGCCGGTTACTATTTAAACCACAGCTCTCCCAGTTTTCTCTAAGACATTCTTTCTCATATACTAATAGTATAACAGCTTTGCTCCTACCTTTTCTCTATTAAAATACAATTTCAAGGAAGACAGAAAATTTGTTACTATTTTCTTTACTTTTTCTTTATATTCTAATGAAAATGTAGAGATTTTTCTTAGTCAATCCATATGACGTTTTCGAATACACAGTTAGAAAGCTGGATATTTCTTTGTATCACTGACTCGTGTGAAAGCATCATTGCTACTGGCTAGTTTACATAGTGCTGGAAGGTGTCACACACTCTACTGCAGGAGAAAAGATCATCAACCTATGAGTTTTAACTATTTTTGAAATACATATTCAAATACATCTTATAATGACATAGGTAATTGGTAAGTTACTCTTTAAAACGTCTATTATATCATTTGTCAATTTTTAATAGTGAATATCTTAATTTTGAAGTATCCAAAGTACTTATTATTCCCATGTTTATCTGAAAGAAAGGCTATGCATTCTTTTCAAGTGACAGTGTTTCCTTATTAAAAGCAACACATTCCATATCCAGGCTTTACTCTATTACACACTGACAAGGCTGTGGACAGTGCAGTTTACGATTATAAAATTCTATTACAATCAGTCCTGGTTTACCTCCTTGACTCTCTATCTACTGTATGTAATGTGGAGGAAATCAAGAATAGATAATCCATCATGTCGTTCCACTAATTGTAACTAAGTAACTCTTCACCATAGTTCTTTTTTAATGATGGCTATTCCTACTTTATGTACAGGGAACTAGAATGGAGTGTTACTTACACTTAGAGCTTGATGAAGATGACCCACCAACAGTAGATCTGGATCCCCCCTTCATGGAAAAGACGCCTTTTCCCCTGCGTGTGGTGGTGACAGTCACTCTGGGACGTTTCAGTGGGATGACAGCCCGAGGTGGTGGAGGTACACGGCCGTGGTAATCAAACAGCCTTTACAAACAAAAATTGTTGAGAGTTGGTAAGATGCCCAAGTGTTCTAGGAAACATTTGGAGTATTCAAACACTGCCCTGGTGAGATTTTATGGTGGCTATATTTTTGCCCTTGTTTACTGTTTAGACAAGGTGCTTATCAGTTAATTTATTTTTCAGAAAGCAACAGGATGCTCTTTCAGGATGCTAGAATTTGACCTGACTCTGAATTTTTGTAAGATAAGAAAGGAGTTTTGCTCTAATAGCAAAATAAAATTGCCAAAATCAGATTGATCTTTGTCCTACAACTTATCCTAATATTGAATATACACCTTCTTCTTATAGATTAAAAATTATCATGTTGCCCGAGAGTAGAATGATTACACAGAGTCATGAACAAAACAGAAAATAGAATTGTCAGTTTATGGGGAAAAGAAGAGATAACTCCAAATCAAGAAGGACATGTAGGAACCTTATATGACTGGTGTCTATCCTCTCAGGGTGTTTGGGGGAAATCAAGGCCCGCTCTGCCTGAGGCTGGGTTTAAATGAAACTGAGCTAGAAATGGTTGATTTTTTACCTAAAGGTAGAAATGGGTTGACTGAAGCATTAGAGGGGACTGGTAATCAGAACACTTTGCTATTCTATTTTCAGGTATACAAAATGAAATAAAGTCATTTGTAGAGTTAGCTGGTAAAATATTTTCTAACTGAAAAGAAAATACATTTTCTACTCTGAGTAAAAGAAAGATGTATTTTTATCAAATATCAAAAGGAATAAAGGCATATAGGTGTTAGCTCACATAATGAAATATGCTATCCAGGGACTCAAATGATTCATCTTATTCATTCTGCATACTCATATGCATCAATGTTCTTTATAATAGCATATTTAAGAAGCATGACAGCTTAGGGACAAAATGCTGGGTTATATTTAATCTATTTGCTAACAACTAAGATATATAATTATATCACCCAGAACAAAAGAAAAGGCATTATTGATTTCCATTTATGATTGTTATATAGTTTATTTTGAAACAATTATATGAATTTTAGTTTTGTAATTGATTCAAAGCAGTCAACAAAAATCAGAAAATAAAACAATATGAAATTCAGAGAACAGAAACTACAATAGGAAAACATAATTTAAAAATTTCTATGAGAAGTTATTTTATAACAGCTTATCTTATGTACTTATATTTCTGAAAATGTGATAATCTCTTTTCGGAAAATAATATATGAAACATAATATAAACATAAAATTGCTTTCAATAGTTTTTAAAAAATCATTTACCATTACTATGGTATAAGATAAATGGACAACACAGTTTAAAAGGAAAGGTTCTAATACAAAGATCTTCTACCTGTGTACAAAAGAAAAGAAGTCAAATGTAGCCGAGGTCAAGTGGGGCCCTATCCTGTATGAACTGGCAAAGTCCAACATAGCCAAAGACCTGCTGGCAAAAAGCACTGGATGTCAGGACCCTATGGTTTCCTTCAAAGTCTACATCTGGATGAGGCAGAAAGGGTTATGAATACAGTCATACTAACAGAGAATTGGAAATCAGAAGGGTCAAAAAAATCTGTCCCTCATTTCAATCATAAAACAAAGTGTACATTAGCTATTTATAAGATGAATTCACAAAGGTCCCCAAGTCAGTGGATTAAAATACAATACGCAAGACTATCATCAGGAATAAAATATGTCATTTGGCTCATCTTCAGGTCAGAAATTACCACTTGACGTAAAATGTTTCTGTAGTTTTTCATGTGCATTGAAGAGGTTCATTATATAAGCAAACCTATTAATTGTGTGAAGAAAATCCCCAGATCACAATGAGATACATAGAGATGTAAGAAGACTGTGATGGATGTGCTGAGCAAATGGGCTACCATATTCATTGATAATGCAATTATAGTGTTCTTCAACCTTTACAGTGCTTTCTAGGTCATTAAAACATCTGTCAATACACAATGTCACTTTCTCCAGGCTGTGTTCCAGAACCTATGTCTTGTGTTGGGCTTTTCTGGTCTCTCAATGGCAAGTGGTTTCAAAGAATCATGTGGGGTTTTCACCTTTGAGTTCATTAGAAATATAAGGAAGGAAGCTGGTCATGACATTCATGCATAAAACCTAACATGTCAGGTAGAAAAGGATCAAATTCTCTGCTCTTGAGAGGTGGGCTAGAGTTTTTATAGACATAGGGAAGTGTGATAGTGAGAAAAAAAGGATACAGTATTTTTTCAGCAGAATTCACTCTAGGGTAAATTAAATTAGTTTAATTTTATAAATAGCATTGGACAGCTCATTTGAAATTAAAGGCTGTCTACAGAAGCTACAGTCACACACAATAAAATAGAACCAAAATTTCAAAGGTTGGTTAAATGACTTTGAGCATCACTATATTATTTCACTCATCCTAACAACTATATTTTTATTATTTTCCTTTAGATGTCTTTAGTTTCCCTAATAGTATTTCTTTGGAAGAAACAAATCTTCCTAATACTTATTGAATAGATAATGATTATTATGAAGCCAAACATAAAATCTTCCCTTTCCCAAAGTCAATTTTAAAATGAAGACTCATCAAACCTTCCCTCTATTTTTCAGTGAAATAAATATAGTTAGTGAAAGTGACTGTAGAAGAATTTTTCAAGTTTTTTATTTCAGAAACATGTAAAACTTTCAATCATATGTTTTCTGTTTGACATTTTTTAAAAAAATGAAACTAGAGATTTGTGATATTATTTCTTGGCAAAAGTTAAAAGCTGGTAAGTATAATTTTTACACGTTTACTTGAGGAAGTGATTGAAGCTTGTCTCTTAGAAGAAGAACATTATTTTCCATCTCTTATCCTCAAAGTAGGTTTGCTATGGGTAAAAGTAATTTAGTGTCACATTAATGTAAGCCTAGAAAGCAAATATAATTTTCATTACTATGAGAATAGCTTATTGCTAGGCTTTAGCAATAATGGTGTTTGTGGGAAATACATGAATGAAGGCCTATATCTCTTAACTTTATTCAATGAAACAAAAACTGTAATATTCTAAGTTTTCCCTTTAGTCATTTATACTCTTTTCACATAACTAAAACTATAGTACATACATAAACATGCTCAAAGGATGTCTGTCTGTATATTAAGATTTTTAAACCCTCCTTAGTGATTATCTTCATGTTTAATTGGTATGATGTATTTATTTTTCTAGTAGAAGCTTTACTAAATCAATGCCAAGTTGCTGACTTCTTTTACCTTTTTCTTTTATGTCTTCTTTTCATTATTAATTTTTCCTTGATTCTTATTTTTGCTAATAACTAGGAAGGTGCTAAAATCAAATGAAAGATTGAAGATTGAAGGTTAACATGGGTATATGTTACATAACCAAGTAACAAACTTTCAGTAATAATTTCAAGAAATTTTTGATAAATACCCATTTGATCTTAAATTTCCCTAGAAAATACTTCTTTTCTCTAGTCATGAATCAAACTTAATGTTGCTATGTAGTTACTGCTAACAAAATCTATAATATAGAGTAGAAGGCGCTCATAGGCTGGCTTCTTCTCAGGAAATGTTGGCAACATATGGATAATAATCAAACAGTTGACAATCTTTGATGCATTATGTTTTATTCTTAAAATCTACTTTCAACATGTTTTACTTCTGACAGACTTGAGTCCACTAAACAAGTTAAAATGCTCACTTTATTAATAAGAAGATCTACTTACAAAATTTCCAAAGCCTGATGTGGCCTTGGTGGGGACAGAGTGACATGGTTCCTGCCCCTGGGACAGGGCCCTGGAGTGAGCCTCTTGCAAGTATTGATGGCTACTGTGGGGTAGACATAAAGCTTGTATGTGTAATAATATATGCATATTTTGGTACCAGTACTAGCAGTGGAGAAACCTTTCTTTCCAAGGAGTGCTCTCCCTGTTAATGTTAATGTCTCCATGATGGTTAGAAACAATAAGTTGAGGTTGTGGCTATGTCTCAGCAAAATGATAAACATTGGCACCTTTAGGACTGTCCTTAAGGAAACAGGAAGGAGCTCTACATACATGAGTTCAAAAATATATAATTTCTCAAGTTGGCAAAAAAATAAGGATACAATATGAATTATATGAGGAACTTCATGAATCTAAAGTAACAAAAGCAGCTGCGCTGTGAGCCAGCTTTTCAGAAAATTACTAAAGAAGGAAATAAAGAGATTTAGAGAGTGATGATCCCAGGAGATCCCACCCCTCTAAGATTTTTGTTTGTGTTTACAAAGCCACATAGATTTCTGACTTCAGAATCAGCCTAGGATAGAGAAAGTTTAGACTCAAGAGTGGTGGAAGTTGTAATTTCAGGATAGGTACCATCGGAGTAGTTTATCGTCTGTGCTTAACAAAAGCATACAGATCTTAGAATTCTATTGCAATGTTAAGAAAAAAATGTATGTTTATTATCACCTAAGAATTAAGGGTTTGTGTTTATGAGACACTGATTCATAGAATAATCAAAAGGGAACCTGGAATACATAACTGAATTGATATGAAAATAAAAAACTTGGGCTTTGGTGCTTGAGATGAGCTGGCAAAAAGTGATAATATTTCTTTAGAATTTTCTCTAGAAAGAGAGGAGCTGTCTGGAGATCTTTGGAGAGTGAAAACAGTTCTTCAATATTTTTTTCTAACAGAATTTCTGACTTGATTGGAAAATCCAATATTTATTTTAGAACACCTTTTCTGACTTTGTCATGAGCTATCCACATAGGCTTTACAATTTTCACTGGCAGAGAGAGATGTCTCAATTAGAGAGATTTTAGAATAGTCAAGAAAAAGCTGTTTAGAGAAGAACAGAACACACACACACACACACACACACACACACACACACACACACACACAGTGGGGTGGTATCTGGAAATTCATCTTATAAAAACCTAAGCCTCCAGCTTGGACCCATAATTTGACCAGACACCCTTTTTCCAAGCTGAGCCTGGTCCTTGGCAAGAATTCAAATTTTTCTTAAAAATCATCAGGAT